ACTGCTATATCGATTAGAATTGGCCAGTGATTTATTTTTGTGTAGCCGCTTCATTGCCTCCCACTTTTGACAAGCTGGACTAAAATACAGCCTAAGATCCAGACTTACTTTACTGCAGCATCACTAAAAATCGTTTTAGAATTACTGGCATTCTTCCCATTTTGTACTATTTAAAGGTAACACCTGCTTGTTTCCATGGAGAGGTTATTGTCTGCAATGTTCCTCAGTATTACATTGAGCTTACTTTTAATTACAGGTGTTACTTGCCTTGAAAATCATCATGCATTCTTACTGCATGGGGGTTACTTGCTTGCCTCCACTGAGATTAATACCATACTGTAGGAGCAACGCTACATCTCAGCAATAACTTTACAGGAAAAATTACACAGTGAACCTTTAAACTACACTGCTATAGGAACACATGTACTTGTACTTTTGCAGAAGCATCTAAGGTTTAATATGACTCATCTCAACAAAAAACAACCCACTAAAGCTAGTTGCATCATTGGCTGCCGGACAGTCAGAGAAAAATGATGGAAGATCAGATTTGACAAGTCTTGGCAAATCATGTGAGAATTTTGTAATAACTATTGTACAATCACATTTCCTGTTTTCTCATTTGGGATATATTCTAATTTTAAACTGAGTCTTTTGTTCTAAATTTTGAAAACTTGTTTAAAATGTTTGACCCAGTTTGGTTTCATAATTTACGCTTTCATTCATTTTGCAACATTAATTCCTCTGAGGGGTGTTATACGCAATTCTACACGCTCAAAACTGACAATTATAAAAAGACAGACGTGACATTTACACAAACAAAAAATAGCTTTCCAGAAGACAGATTGTAGTGGATAATTTCATTCCAACATGAAGGATTAAGAACAACCACGTTTACACACATGCACTAGGCAAGGCAAGGTGAGGCAAGTTTATTTTTATAGTACAATTTGTACACAAAGTAATTCAAAGTGCTTTACAGACTAAGAAAACCATTAAAATCATATACAAATCAATCAAAACATAAATTCATCATAACATTAACATCATTAACATTAACATTAAAATAGAAGAGTAAGAACAATATAAGGGAAAATAGAAGAATAAAAACCAAGCATCGTAATATCAGTCTGATACTGTTACCAATGTGTTTTGTCTTCAAACTCACAGAAGGTTTTTTACTATTGAGAATTTTACTTTAGTGTTATCATCTTTGACCTCTTGTATATAGATTAAATATATTTTATAATTTTTACTTGTACATATACATTTATATAACTATGCCTTAACTGACATCAGTCTCCTGCTATTTCTGCTACTTATTTAGAATTTATTATACCATTTCTCTTTGTTATTATAAGATGCTGTGAGCTAATGTCCAAATAATTGCTCTTGTGAATCAATAAAGTTAGTCTAAATCTAAGTCTTTGCTCCACCCCAGTTTGAACTGATCTAAACATTTAATACATCTGCAAATGAACAAAAACATAAACAATCTATTTTAAAAAGTTATCAAAATACCTCAGTTTCTAGCTATTGATATATATTTCAATCAATATAGACTTTTGTCACAGTCTGCCAATTGTGAATCAATGTTGTATCTAGCCTATACTCACATTTATTCCTGTCTTACCAAAAACTCTGGATATGTTTGAACTGCATGTATGAACTTCCTCATAAAATGTGGAAACTGAGGTTGAGTCACAGAGGACAGATTTGCTTGTTAGTCTATGACATTTGTCTGGATTGCAATTTTGTAAATGTTACTGATTTATCTACAGTGCCATTTTGCTGTGGTTTTGTTGGTTGAGACACTTGTTATGAACGTCAACATTTTCAGGGTTTACTTGAGGTGATTACTCCTCTGAAAAATTACAGCGTGGTACTTTGCTTGTTTCAGTATAAATAATGTCCTTAACAACACGTCCTTGATTACATATCCGTCCATTATAAACCGCCATTGTATTTGATGCTGCTTCCACTTAATTATAATGTTTGTTCTCTACACTCACTTATTGTAATCTGCTCTTTGTTGTCCCACAGGATATTTTCTTTGGCCCTGATAGTTTGGAAAAGTCTTATTGTTTATTGAACAATGGAGTTCAACTGTGACCGCCTACTGTTTGGTTCCAAAAGTAAATACCATCAATTCTTCTCTGAGACCTATAATTTTTTTTTAAATTTGAAATCATAAACCGCTGTTGTTATTAAAACATTTCACAAATTTAAAGTTAAAATAGTTAGGAGTTTCTGTCAGATGCTTTTCTCCATTGTCTGGAATGTTTCACAGTATAGTATTAAACCTTTCTATTATCATGGAGACTAAACTCAAGTTGCAGGTCAGATCTGTGGAGAGGCTCACACCCTGCTCACAGTCAGAATGCTTGTTTTTCTTGGTATTTTTGAGCTATAAAACCACCTGTAATTGAATAAATATAATGTAGAACAGTTTAATGTTACACTGTGGAACATTCCAGGCAGAGCAATGACATAGAAACAAGCAGGCGACGGGCACTCCACCCAAAAATTTACACAATGCACCTATAAACTCAAAATTTTCAAAAAGTGAAAAAAATGAATAGGACACATATTAGACACTGCTGGGAAAGTCTGTGAGGCCCCCGTTTACTTTAATTAAATTAATTAAAGCGACTATGTGTCACTATGCTTTACACCATGGTTAATGCTTTAGATCTTACTCATGCTAATGCTTTTATTGAATAGTGAGTTTATGGGAAACTGGGGTCAGAGATCAAAACTCTAAGACCAGGGTTTAGGACATATTGTGATTCAGTGTGATTCATTACTCTGTGTTGGCTGGTAGCAGTGAGTCTAAGCTATTGTTGTCATTTGTTCTTGGGCTAGACCTCTTTTGTGACTTTCTTTTTATCTAGACCTATTTAAAGCACTGAACTGAACAAACTGAAAATGCCTGTAAGCTGTTTGGATGAGGTGTGAGTCATGACTTGCAGAGACGCTTATTTCTTAATACATTTTCAAATCTCCCATAATACACAATCCACTGTAAACTTGGTGGTTTTCAGAATCAAATATGTGGTGTCATACTCCTAGAAAAGGAAAGAGACATTTTCACCTAGTTATACATTTTTTTTTAATCTCAAATTGTAATTGCAATTCAAGTCACTAAGACAGCAGTTATTTAGATAATAGAATGTGCTCTGCCAAGAACAAAATATCCTGTGTCTTTATTTACAAAAATGTTGTTGTACCCGTAGTTTAGATCAGATTCTTATTCCTTTGTCTTATGATAATTCTTATTAGTTTATCAGTTCATATTTGTCTTAAATTTCAATATTAATGCTCCTCGAGTTGTTTCAATGTGCTCTCTGAACAGAATCCCACTTTTTAAGCGTACATTTTGATTCACAATATTATCCTAAAATTGTCAGTCAATTAAATTTTTATTGTGGCCATGTCATAACAAATATCTAGAAGTAAATTCACAAATGTTGAATCTCTTTTATCTCTTTTATCTTTTATTAGTTATTAAATCATACTATATTATATACAATACATACAAATATATATATATATATATATATATATATATATATATATATATATATATATATATATATATATATATATATATATATATATATATATATATATATATATATTTGTATGTATTGTATATAATATAGTATAT